GGGGGGGGGGGTGCCGTTCCCACTGCTGGCCAGCTCTGCGTGAGTCAGGTGCCTATCCCTGGCCACCTTAGCCCTGTGCAGGCCTGAGATGTAGCTCTGTAGATTTCCAGGATCCTAGAATGATACAGATCACCTAATCCAACCCAGTCATTATACAGAGTGGGAACCTGAGGCCCGAGGGCATTCGAGAGGGGCCTGGGGCAGCGTCATATAGTGTAGTCCAGGCCTCTTTCCCCAGCCCCTCTGCTTTTATTCATTCATTCACTTGTTCGTTCAACAAATATTTTCCTGAGCACCTACTCTGTTCCAGGTAGGCCCTGGGGTTACATAAAAGAATTAGATGCAGTCCTTGCCCCAACGAACTCAAGAGTCTAGTCTGGGAGCCATATGTAGGTATCAGCATGTAGGTTCCAAACGCTGTGATTAAGGGGGTATGGAGACTGAGAGGCAGAGGGGGCACATGGCTCAACCTGAACAGTGGGGCATCATCCTTTGTTTTTGACTTAACCCTTTCCCCTGCCACTCACACCTGTACACACACACACAGTAGATGATGATGATGATGATGATGGTGACACTGGCTGCCAGTGTGACAGTGCACTTCTTCCCCACACCAGACAACATGCTTGGCATTTCGTAGACACTCTGTCATCTATCCTCACAGCAATTCTGCGAGGCAGACCTTGTCTCCCTCCTACAGATGCAGACTTTGAGGCTCAGAGAGCTTAAGTGATCCACCTGCGGTCACAGGGGACCCCCCAGACCCCACCCCCGGCTCCCAGTCCATATAGAGGGACAGGCCGCAGCTCAGCCACTTGCAGCCTGTGAGGACAGACTTGAAGCACCTCTCTGGGCTTCAGTTTCCCACCCCTATGGCGAGAACTATAAAACAGCATACCGATGCCCCGCTCTGCCTCCTGGGCATTGCCTCTGGGCTTCAGTCTCTCCTCGGGCGCCTGCCTACACTAACCTGTCGCCCCCACCCCCCGCCCCCCTGCGCAGTGGGACCTGATGCAGAACATCATGGACGACATGCCCATCTACATGTACTCTGTGTGCAACGTGGTGGCCGGCGACCAGGACAACTGGCTCCGCACCAACTGGGTGTACCGCGGCGAGGCCGAGCGCATCTTCATCGAGCTCAAGTTCACCGTGCGTGACTGCAACAGCTTCCCGGGGGGCGCCAGCTCCTGCAAGGAGACTTTCAACCTCTACTACGCCGAGTCGGACGTGGACTATGGCACCAACTTCCAGAAGCGCCAGTTCACCAAGATTGACACCATTGCGCCTGACGAGATCACGGTCAGCAGCGACTTCGAGGCCCGCCACGTGAAGCTGAATGTGGAGGAACGCTCCGTGGGCCCGCTTAGCCGCAAGGGCTTCTACCTGGCCTTCCAGGACATTGGCGCCTGCGTGGCGCTGCTCTCCGTCCGTGTCTACTACAAGAAGTGCCCCGAGCTGCTGCAGGGCCTGGCCCGCTTCCCCGAGACCATCGCGGGCTCCGACGCACCCTCCCTGGCCACCGTGGCTGGCACCTGCGTGGACCATGCCATGGTGCCACCTGGGGGCGAAGAGCCCCGCATGCACTGCGCGGTGGATGGCGAGTGGTTGGTGCCCATCGGTCAGTGCCTGTGCCAGGAGGGCTACGAGAAGGTGGAGGACGCCTGCCAGGGTGAGTGACGGTACAGGGGCAGCAGGAAACGGGGCTGCTGGGGTGGGGGCTGTGGTCCTGGCTTCTAGCGTCGGCTCTGGAACTGTGAGATCCTGGCAAGGTCATCCCTGCTCGGACTCTGACCTGCGGAGGGGTCTGTTAGTGGAAATCACAAGAGCCTTCCTGGTCTTCAGTTTCCTTATTTATGGTTGGGTTCACTCATTCACTGAGAAGGGGACACACTGAAAAACAGGAGACTATGGAAGGTTATGAGCAAGGATTCGAGGACAAGAATGCCTGGGTTCAAATCCCAGCTCTGCGTTTAGCTGTGTGACTTTAAGTCAGCTTCTTAACCTCTCTGGGCCTGGTTTCCTCATCTGTACAGCAGAGACAAACATAGTGCCCACCTTGTAGGGTGCTTATGATAATCAAATGACTTAATGCTCGTAAAGTGCTTAGGTCAGTGCCTGACACGTAAGTGCTTTTAAGCCTGGTTGTTATTTTTGATTCATCCCACAAGTATAATTTAAATATCTACTATATACCAGCGCTGTGGACCCATGATGCAGTCTCTGGACCTCGTTCCATCCCTGTTAACTCACTGCATGACCTTAGGCAGGTCACTTAACCTGTCTGGGTCTCAGGCCCCTCTCTTGTACACGGGGTGAGGGAATTGGACCCAGGATTCCGTCCCCTGGCTGCACATGAACCACCTGGGGAGTTTTTGGAAAACGTGTGCCTTGAGGTAAGAGTGGAAGGGAAGTGTGAGATCTGACGTTCCCCAGGGCCACGGTCCCAGGTTCTCCTGATGAATCTTCTACTGCTGACAAATGGAACCCAGAAAGGGGCCAACTGTACTGGACCCTGTCTGGGAACGGGGCCTGGGCATTTGTGAGCTCACATCAGGAGGCTGTGGCTTGGCATGGCCAGGGCCTGTGACAGCGGAAATCTCTACAGCAACGTGGAATTTTTTTCAATGGGTGACTTTTTCTAGAAATGGCTGTGGGGCAGGGCATTTGTGGAATGCAGGCCAACCTTTGGGAGGCCAGCTCATCCTCTCTCTCTGGGAATTTCTTTGCTGAGATAAGCGGGGAGTTGAGAAATTGGGGTTTAGTTGCCTGTAGTTATACGTACCCACTGGGTGATCTTGGGTAAATCTCTCTTCATCTCTGGCCTAGAATAGGAAGGCTTTTTACTTGTTTTTTTAGCTACAGATCCTGCAACACACGAAGTAGGTTGAAATGTTGGAGGAGACTGAAGCCTTTTCCGATCGACTCCCTAAGCCCCTGGATAAGAAGTTCCTTTTCTGGCCATAAGCCTGTGCCTTAGTCTCTGCTCTGGCCCTTCCTGCCACCCCAGTGTCCTCCCAGCTCCCCTCTGCTGTCTGAGTCTCTCTTCCTTAGGCGGCCCCTGCTTTAGGTGACCTCGAGTGCACACTCCCAGTTTCAGACAATGACTGCGGGGTGGGGGGGCCCCCCCCCCCCGAGGCAGCCCAGTGGGTCGAGCAGGCTCCTCCCACATGACATCCTCTCACAAGAATGCGGGGGTGGGGGGGGTGGTGAGGGGCAGCCGAAAACTTTCCACAGGCTGGTGATTCAGGCCCTGCAGAGATAAGTGGACATTGGGGTTGGGGGTGTTCTTTCCAGCAAGGCGGGGGGCAGCCTTCCTTCCCCTAGAGGCGGGGGGGTCAGGGATCTGGCAGGCTTTGTTTGTGAAGAGCTGGATGGGCCCCGGAGAGGGAGGACTGGTTTCCACGAGCAAATCTTTGACTTTCCTGGTGGATCCTTCTCAACCGTGAGCCGCCCGGAGTCCTGGATTTTCTTCCTTGAGATCCCTCTACCACAATTAAAATTCCCTTCGGTGTGGTCCAGGGGCCACCGTGTGGCTGGGAACCCCCAGCCTGGCTGCTCTTTATCCCTGCGGATGTTCTCAGCAGCCCCTGACCATGATGCCGGTGGAGAGAAAAACAGTGACTCCTGTAGACAAGTGATCTTCACCGGCAGGTGTGAGCTAGGCGAGCGCTTTATCCGAACACTTGCTCAGTCCGGCCCACCTTGAGGAGGCTGAGGCTCAGAGAGGCAAAGAGACTTGTCTGGAGTCACACAGCTAAGGCGTGTGGTCGTATCAGGATTTGAATCCAGGTGATGCTGCAGCTCCCGGGCCGGAGGATGGGCCGGGAAATGGGGCGGGAAATGACCAGTTCCTTTGGAATCCCTGACTCAGCTCCTGGCCAGGAGACAAGCTCTCTGGGTAGTCCCTGGATGGCGGGTCCTGGCACAGGAGGGAGAGGGTGATCGGGGGCTGTTACTAAGCACACTGAAGGAGAAACAGAGGCAGGTGCAGGGCCCGCCCTCCCTGCCTGGCCCTCCACAGCGCCGTGGACCCAGATTCTCCCACTGCGGCTTTTACTGATGACAGATGGAGTCCAGAGAGGGGTTGTGGATTCCCTGAGGTCACTGAGCACCTGGCCCAGGTCATCTTCAGAGCTCGCTCCTTTTCAGGGTTCTTTCCCCAGGAAGCTTGGCACTCAGGAAAGAGTTAAATGGACAACGGCAGGGAGGCACCTCCCAGGTGCTGTGATCGGACAGGTGGGCACACTGCCCGGAGAGCTTTCTGAGCTATGTCAGGAATGAGCCAGCTTCACTCCGGTCCCCCGCCTGCCCCCAGCCCTGCCCGGGGTGGGGGTGGGGGGGGACAGCGGAGTCGCTCAGGCTGACCGTCATCTCCCCCGGGGCGGCTTTGTCTCTCCTTCCTGTGCTGGCATCGGCAGCCGAGCTGCTGGGGCCCTGCCTGGCGCCTTGGCCGTGGGCACTGCCGGCCAGGTGAGCAGGTGGCCAGCGGCCTTGGCCAAAGGCTCAGCCTAGCAGCTGGGAAGCCAGAACTGGAGGTGGGCACCGTGAGGAATTCCTTCTTTGGAGGCTCCTGCTCCTTCAAGGGGTCCGGCCCCCTGGGGATGTCTCCTGTCTAGTTTCCCTGTCACCCGGTTCGTAGGGACACCCCAGTCTGGGCACCAGGCTGAGCATTTCACATGGTTTCCTTCAGTCCTCACAAGCCCAGAAAGGCTGAGGACTTTAGCTCCATTTTATAGATGAGGAAACTGAGGCCCAGAGAGAGGAGACAGTGACTAGTGACCAAAAGAGCTGGCATCTGGCATGAGGAGGGCAGTGTACTGTGCCCAGCTCGCTGCCCCTGGCATGTGTCCTACCCATAAACGATATGAACTTGGCAAGTCCCCTCTGGGCCTCATTCTCCCCATCTGTAAAATGGGTGGGTTGGACCCCTGCCGATCTAGTGATCAGGGTCCACCTCCTGTGACTTTCTACTGAAAGCCTAAGAACCTGGATTGCTCGGGCAAGCTGTTGACTGGGTGACCTCACCTGGTGCAGCAAGGATCAGGGTCCTAGTGCTGGCGTCCTGAGTGGCCCAGGCCTAGTGGGGGTGGGGGTGGGGGGCCCAAAGAGGAAGGGAAGGCATCCTCTGGGCAGGGGATGGCTCTAGTTCCAGTGGTCTTTGGGTAGGGTGGCCCCAGGCTGTGTCAGGGGCTGTTGGCAGAAGCCCTGCTTAGTCAGGACATGACTGATCCTCAGGCTGGCGGCTCTGTGAGCTGTTGACTCTTGGGCACGTCCCCTTCCTGGGGAGTGCCACCGGGCCTGATTTCTGCGGTTTCCTCTGGCCTGCTGGGTGGGAGCCACGGATGGGATGGGATGGCCGCTCCCCACCTCTGTGCCCTGCCTGCCCCGCCCTCAGCTCACACAGGGGGCAAATTCACACCCCGGCAGCTCAGTGGGGCGGCCCCTCCCTCCCTCTCCGGAGGTAAGTGGGTCCCCTGAACGGAAGGAAGGAGGCAGGGAAAGCAAACAGAAGATAAAAGGCTGGTGGTGGGGAGACAGCAGGAGGCGGAGGCTGGCGGTGGGGGGAAGCCAGGCTTATCTCTGGCACGGTGGAGGAATGTGCCTGAAGATAATTCTCCAGGGTGTGTGTGAAAGGGGCAAGGTGCTCGCCACGGGGACATCCCCACATGGGGCTGGGGAGTGAGAAGCCACCGGGGTCTGGGGCCTGGGGCCGACATTTTCCCTGGACGTTTCCCCTCGTCGGCAGGGTCGATGACTCCTGGGTCACCATTTGCTGCCCGTCAGGGCAGGAGACAAAGTCCACGCGCTTTCCCCCTGAGCCTCGGGGAGGTGACTGGCCCCAGGTGAATTGCCACTATGACCTCTTGACCCCGTGACCTCCCCACTACCAGTTTGGGAGGTGGTTGGGCCTGGGGGGAGGGGCTCTGCCAGGGGCTAGATTTGCGTCACTCCAGAGGGTGTGTGTCCCTAAGTCACTCCACGCTGCCATCTGAGAGGCGGGCACGGGGAACTGGAAAAACCGGGGTGCCGCTCTGGGCGCAGCCACCGTGCCCCAGTTCCCCTGCTCGGTGGGGCCCGGGCCTACCAGGCAACCTGCACCAGAGAAGCTCTCCATAGGTGTGCGTGCCAAGGCCGGGCTCTGGCGCCGGGCGGGTGGGCATCCTGGCGCACCATCCCTGCAGGGCCTCCGAGGGCACCGCAACCCTACTCACTTCCGTGGCGAGTGTTTAACGCACACGTCCTAGGCTTTGCCATCTTCGCGCGTTCATTCGCTCATTCGCCTATATCCATCCAGTCAACAGACGTTAGCTGAACACCTACTGCGTGCCAGACCCGGGGCCGGGCCATGGGACGCATAGAAATGGGACTCTGTACCTGGTCTCCAGGAGCTGCCGGTCTCAGAGAAGTTCCTCATGTGAGCAGAAATCATTTCAAATGGAGCACGAAAGCCAGGCTGTGAATTCCCCTGAAGCAGAAAGTGTTTATCTCTCTCACTATCGTATCCCAGATTGTGCCAGACACGTAGGAAGTGCCCAACTTCTATTTGGTAAACAGAAGATTGAGTAATAGATGCCCTAATGGGGCAGAAGAGGGCCAGAAGTTGGGCAGTCTGGGACGGCTGTGGAGAGGCGCTCAAGCTGGGTATTGAGGGAGGCATAGGAGTTCCCCGGTTGGCTAAGGGACCATGGGTGTTTGTGTATGTGCGAACACCCAGTGCGTGACCCCGTCCCCACTTGCGTGTCCAGAATGCCAGGAAATCTAACCAAGTCAGAAAGACGCGGGGGCTTGTTGGTTGGTGTCCTCCATGCAGATTCTGGGGCGCCCCCGAGCACGGGCACACCCTCCAGGGCCCCCGAGGACAGCCCCTCGTAGTTGTGCGGCTGGAGGAGGGGGCAGCACATTCCCGTCAGGCAAGTACTTGCCCTGTCGATGCTGCCTCTCCACTGTATTATCTAGCATATCCACAGCGGAAATCTCTCCAAATTCCCTCTTTCCTGCCGGCAGCAGTCTGGCCACCCCCGGGCTCTGCAGCCAAAGAATGGAAGCTGACTCTTTCCCCCACCCTCCACCTTCCTCCTCTTGGCACAGGGCTGGGGGCGCTGGGGAGCAACCGCCCGGTGGGGAGTGGGGGCACGGGGTGGGGAGGGGGGGTTGCAGGTGGCTAACACCTTCTGGGTAGAACCAAGCCTGAGCTGTGGGGGTTTGTGGGCCCCTCCCCAGCCTGAGGGCCTGGGCCGGAAGGTGTGATGGTGGTTCTAGGGGCCCCTGAACATCCCCACTCCATTGGGCCCAGACACCTGGAGCCAGTACTTACCCAGCGCACAGGCCCCTCCAGGGACAAGTCAGGGCACTTGGGGGAGTGAAATCCCAGCATAAAATGGCCCAGCTCTCTGGAATTTCAGTTTTACTTGAACATTTGGGGGAGGAGAGAGCTATTTTTGTGATGTAACAGATACATAAGGAGGAATGCAAAACGCATGTGGATTTCTGAAGTACAGTAGGAGGCTTGGTTCCCCAGCCAACACTCCGGGCTCGATTCTACCTTTCCTTTGCATTGGCCATTATTGTGCCCAGGCTGAGAAAAGAGCTTTGTCAGGGAGGTGCCCCCCCCCTCCCCCCGCTGCCCCCATCGCCCCCCAATCCGCTACCCTCAGCTGCTCTGAAATTAGTCTTGGGATTTTCTGGCTGTTGAAGCGGGTCAGGACTCATCTCCTGTCTCTTCGGGCTCCTTTTAGAAATGTTGATTTCTCTTTGTGCTAAATCAAGATGTTTGTGGGAGGAGAGGGGCTCAAAGTCGAGCGTCCTGGGTTTAGGTTTTGGTTTCGTGTCTTAGGAGCTTGTTGACCTTGGACACGTGGCCTTGCCTCTCTGGGCATCAGACTCCTCTCCCCGAAAGTGGCATGAATGATACGGGGCGCCAGTTTAACAGGCTGGTGGTGGGGACTAGGAGTGTCAGATGCTTGCTGGGCCCAGGAGCGGCACACAGTAGGTGCTCAATCAGCGGTCCCTGCTAGTGACTGGGGCTCCGGGCTCTCTCTGCAAGAGCGGGAGTTGGGTCCCAGGCCCCCTCTGTCCTTGACGAGCCCCCTGCTCTGCGGCCTGCGCCCTTTCAGGGCCCGGGCTGGGGTTCTGACGTGACAGCACGTGGAGGAACGGGCTGCCAGCGTGCCCTTGGAGTCCTGTCCCCTGACTCCCAGTCCTGCTCCCCTCCTCCTCTCACACAGGGAACGGGACGAGGAGGGAGACTCTGCCCAAGAATTTTCTTGACAGTGCGGATCTGACCGTGCCATTTTGCTCTCTACATCAAACCTTCAGTCCTTCAGTGGCACTCATTGTCCCTAGGATAAAGTCCTGGCTCCTTGGCCTGGCATTAAAGGCCTTTCTCAGTCTGGCCCCTGGAAACCTGTCAGCCTTAATGCCTCCTGCCCCCACTTGTACTTTCTGTGTTAGTCCTGCTCTTTCTCGGCCTGACCCTCCTCCAACACCCCTGCCCCACTGAACTCCTACTCAGCCTCTAAGCCCCAGCTGAACTGTCCCCACTCTGACTCCTCAGTCCTTAGCTCTTGCCCGCCCCAATGGCAGACATTATCGTGTGTTCCTGGCCCCTGAGTTCAGGGGCTTTGTCTCATCTCGGGGTTCGTGCCACAGAACAAAGAACGTGGCACCAAGGTGGGAGGTGTCTCAGGACATTGTCCGCAGAATAAGCTGGAGGGAGGTACAGTCATGGTAGGGCGGTAGAAGAGGTTGTAGGAGAGGGTGATCCCACCCCACCCTGGCCACTTGAGCAGCTGCCTAAGCCCTGGGCTGCCCTGGAGAGTGGGCCTCGTGTCTGGGCAGCTTCCTGCCTAGGAAGCCAGGAGGGGGCTTGGGGCAGGAGCAGGACAGGCTGGTGGGAGGAAGAAGCCTCTGGAGTCAGGTGCCTGAGCCCCTAGCCGGCCTGGCCAGGACAGGACCCTCCCCCCAGGGGGAGGAAAAGCTGCTTCCTGGCGGCCCTCGTGAGTGGCGGAAATGACTCGATCCTGGAGGCAGCTCCACGGAAGATGCCGGGGGAGGGGGGGGAAGGAGGGGACCGGCCTTTCCTGCTTCCTGGTGGGCCAGCCCCGGAACAGGAAGGCAGTCGGGTCCTGGGGTGGGGGAACACCTGCAGGGGTGGCATCCTGAGCGGGTGTGCCTGGCTGATCAGCTGAGATGGTGGTGAGAGTCCGTCCACAAGCACCAACGGTGCGGATGTAGTTACTGCCCTGGGCAGCTTGAACCTTAGGTGGGGACCCATCAGGCTGGTCTGCACGGATCAAAGGAGAGGAGGCAGGCGGGCAGCGCGCTCTGTCCGGGGCCGAGCCAGGTGTGAGGTCGGATTCTCCGGAAGCCGAAAGGGGAGACGGAAGCCTTGAACGCCAGGCTCAGGTGTGGCCCTTGTTTCGAGAGCAGGTGGGGAGGGCGCGGAGGTTCGGAGCACAGGGGCGAGGCACTCGTTGTAATTTTAATTTAATTGTTTTAAAATTTAAATCCAAGTTGGTTAACACGCAGTGTAACAATCACAAGATGTTTCTCCAGAGAGAAAACAGGCCCACAGGGGTGTGTTTAGCAACTTGCACGGGGTCCCCTGGCAAGGTCCCACTAGAGAAGCCGCTGAGGGGGTGAACTGTCTCTCCCTGTGTCTGCCAGCCTGCTCCCCTGGATTCTTCAAGTCCGAGGTGTCCGAGAGCCCCTGTCTGAAGTGCCCCGTGCACACCCTGCTGTCCCCCGAGGGGGCCACCTTCTGTGAGTGCGAGGAAGGCTACTTCCGGGCACCGCAGGACCTGCTGTCGATGCCCTGCACTCGTGAGTCTTGCAGCGGGTCGGGGAGGTTGGCCGGGGGGCGCGTGGCGTGCCGGTTGACACGTCCAGGCTCCCGGGGCCTGAACTCTGCCCTCTGTGCAGGCCCGCCCTCCGCCCCGCACTACCTCACAGCTGTGGGCATGGGCGCCAAAGTGGAGCTGCGCTGGACGCCCCCCCAGGACAGCGGGGGCCGTGAGGACATCATCTACAGCGTCACCTGTGAACAGTGCTGGCCCGAGTCCGGCGAGTGCGGGCCCTGCGAGGCCAGCGTGCGCTACTCCGAGCCGCCGCACGCGCTGACCCGCACCAGCGTGATCGTCAGTGACCTGGAGCCGCACATGAACTACACCTTCGCGGTAGAGGCCCGCAACGGTGTCTCGGGCCTGGTGGCCAGCCGCAGCTTCCGCACTGCCAGTGTCAGCATCAACCAGACAGGTGAGGGCTGGCCCGGCTGTGCCTCTGAGGCCATCCGGGATGCGGGCGGGGCTTCCGGAGGGTGGCCACCCAGGGTGCAGCTGTGTCCGGAGACGGGCAGCAGCAGGTGGTTAAAGTCATAGTCTGTGGGGTTGCTTCCGAGCTCTGTGACCTCTCTGGGCCTCAGTTTCCTCACCTGTAAAATGGGAGTAGCAAGAATAGAGTTATTGAGAGGATTCAATAAACTGTTATATATGAGGCTCTTAGAACAGTGCCCAGTCCACAGACAGGTTATACCAAGAGTCCCCTGTCGCTTTACTTTATTATTTATGCACTCGTAAATATTCGTAGGGCACCCCGAATGTACCAGCCCACGGGATCCAGCGCCTGCGGCTCTGTGCTCTGGGGCTGGAAGTTAAGAATCCCAGCTGGGGGGGGAGGGGGGCACCTGGGTGGCTCAGTCCGTTAAGCGTCCAACTTCAGCTCAAGGTCATGATCTCACGGCTTGTGGGTTCGAGCCCCATGTGGGGCTCTGTGCTGATGGCTCAGAGCCTGGAGCCGGCTTCGGA